TATTGCGTGGTGATCATGAATGTTAATGACGTTACCACTCAACATATCCAAGGAAATCATAAGCCGAATTTCTTTGGAGGGTGGAATGTTGAATATGTTGATCGATGTTATTTTATTATTTATTTTGGCAATTGATTTATTTTTTTTATATATCAATTTGTAAAATTTGATCGGTGAAAATTTTATATTAACATTTTTTTATACATCAATTTGTATTAGTTATTTTTTTTATTGTTTAAAAAAAAGATATATAAAGAGAATGGTTTTTGTTAAAAAAGAGATAAAAAAAAATGTAATTTATCTTTGAAAATAAAAATGTAATATATCATATAATAAAATTTAAATTCTGATTAAAAATAAAATGATAATCAATGAAAAATGTGAATTAATTATCTATGATAAAACGTGGAAATAACACAATTCCAACAAAATTCAATCTCTTTTCTAATTTTTTTTATAACCATATTTATGATGGTTTCAATGAGAATATTTATATTATTAAACGACACTAGATAGATATAATTTGTTATAAAAACCCTTTTGTTTTTTCTCATTTCTTTTTTCTTCATTTTTTTGAATATACAATTTGAGGACAGGTTCCGAATCTGCAATTAGTTTAATAATTGTCTTTAAAGGCTATTATTTCAAAGATTTTCTTTATATCGTTTAAAGCCATGTCTCTTCTATTATTTTTAAGATATTCGGACTGATTTTATTATTTCTTTTATTTTACATTATACTAACTTTATATTTATCTTACGGACTGATTTTATTATTTCTTTCACTTTATATAATATTAATTTTAATAGTTTCTTTAATACCTTGTTTGTTTAAATGATTGTTATTTTATATTAACCGATTAAGTAAATTGTTAAATTGAATATTGTAAAGTATATATATAGATATAAAATTTATTAGATTTTTAGTTAGTTATATTTTTGAATTAATAAAATCAAAATAAATATCATTTTGCTTTGCTTTCCTATTTTTATTTAACTCTCTACCTCATCATCAATTATGGTCTGCCATTTATCATCTCTTATATTATGCCATGTGCAATTATTATTAAAGCATTTGTATTTTTTGATTAGTATTTTTGGGCATATTATTGTAAAAATAATTTTATAAGACAAGAAATCTTTTGGTTTTGGATGGGTGAGGTAAAAAAAATGGAAATTATTTTTTCTATTAAAGTCCCCCCCCCCTTCCCCCATTTAAATTTTAAGAAGCAGTTGCTTCGAACACCCCCTCTCCGATGTAGTGACCACTGTATGATTATAAAATTTTAGTTGTATTCTAGTTGCAATTGCCATAAATAAAAATCTGTGTGAACAGAGGGGAGAGATCAGGGTGGAAAATTCTACGAAATAATTAGGCAAAATTGCGTTTTTATAATAGTTCTATACAATATCTAATTAGATTTATCCCTTCCTTAAATCATTTCAAAAATTTCTTCCATTTAAAATAGTGCGTAAAAAAAATTTTCAAATATGCAATAACAAAATGAACATTTCATTTTATAATCAAATTTTCCCATAAAAAAACATTTGTTATAAATTACAGAAAATAATTAAAAAATGGGAAGCATTTCAAAGAAGCTATAGTAGTTCTTATGGAATCACTTTGACCGACCTTCTCTATTTCTATTCACAATCTATCTTAGCCCTTGAGGTTAAATTATTCTATTGTAGACTTTTTCAATTTCAACCGTAATAAATATTTCTTATTTTGGTCTACTTTTTTTTTATACTATCTCTAAAAGTTTCAAGGCTACAGTTAGAGATATTTAATACATATTTTTAAAATACGATAAAACAGCTTATTTTTTTATAATAATGAGAATGACAGTAATTTTTTAAGATTTAAAAATTTTTTTCTTATAATTGTTTTAGTGCTTCCATTTCTCTTTTATTCTAAATTTCGATATCATTTTATTAATAATCTCTACATTTATTCGAGGAATTTTACTCACCAAGTTAAATCGCTAAAATATATTAAAATTGAATAACACCTATTGAATCAATTCCGTTATGCCACAGTACAGTTATAATATAATGTAAAATTATTGAATTATAAAATAATATTTGGAAAAATCAACAACATATATATAATCTTTTTTTTAAATTTTGCATCGGGCATAAAATGTCTTCCTGAGTTTGCAAACTAAGTAATCTAGAATATAGAAAATATGTCTCATTGAAAAAAAACATTTATTATCTATAAAATCGTGGTCCCTGTTTAAAAAAAAAAATTTGCTCTTGGATTTCGATCCATATTTTTGATGAAAGTTCTTGATTCGACCCTTTTAAAGGATCTACTAACAAATCGAAATTTTTCATATTATTTTCCTAAATAAGAAAATTATTTTCAATTACCTAATATATTCCTAAATAATTTAATTTTTTTAAAATATCATTCAATATCCTGATAGTCTAGTCTTGAGACAATAGTTAATTTTTTTTTTCTATCCTTTAAGTTAAAATCTCGATAGAGATTAAGATGACAGTTTCGCAAAAATTTGGTTTAGCATTTTTTAGAGTCAGCTCAAAACCTGCAAAATGGAAATTATTTTAAGTTTATTTTCTGCGCAAATTGAGAAGAATCTACTAAATCAAAGATGGTGGTATCACATTTTAATTGACTGATATATATTAATACCCCAGTATTCCCGGATGTAGTGTTGTTTAAAAGGCATGATTCAGGTCGATTTTTATAAACGGCTCTCATTATGATCATAAAAATATATATTATGCTTTAAGCCTAGAAATTGTTGTTCACTAGACTGGCAGAAAGGTTTAGAAATCTATCTGCCAAATCTCGAAGGCGTTACGATAATATTATTTTGGCTAAAACCTTAATCGGGACGTTATGTAAAAATTGACCGGACTTTGTTTTACCATACTAGCCGGTTAGGTCTAATGATCAATTTCTTGTCATCTATGAAGCATAATTATATATATTTAAAAAATGAAAACAGTCACCATATTATTTAATTATAATCATATGTCTTATTAGGATTTGGAATATCTCAATTTGAAGTCATTCTCAGGGTGATTTTTTACACTTTAAAAATCTGATTTGATTGGAAATATAATTAAGCATGTATAGAATTACCACAATGTGAATTTCGGACATTTTTATTTTCCGGGAACCTAATTATATACTCAAAAGTTGATAACGAAATTGTGAGAAATTAACAGGGTCTCTACTCGTGTTGTTAAAAAAGCCCTATTCAGTTCGATTTTTTTAAAAACGATCAGATTAAGATTATAACCAAATATCATTGTAAGCCTAGAAATTTAGTTCATAGTTGGCAGAAAGGTTTGGGCATCTATTTGCCAAAATCTCGAGGCTTATATATAATATTATTTTGGCTAAAATCAATCGGGTCGCTTTTAAAAATCCAATCCAAATCGGGCTTTTTAATAACACTAATCTCTATACCATAAAATAAAGATGTAATATATTATATAATTAGAAATAATATGATGCGTTAAAATTATGAATGAAAGATGAAGTAATATATTTTTTTATTTGCTGAAATACATTTTCTCGGTAATTAGATATTTACAATTAAAATAAATGCTCTTCAATGAATGATTTTTGAAATGTTAGAACAAAAAATTAAATCAGAATTGTTCTTTTACTATCTTTTCTTATAAAAATAGGGATTCCAAAGTGTTTCTCTATTTATTTTTTTTAAAGGGTCTCTTCTTAAGTTCTAGTAGGTTCCAAGATTTAAGTTTATGTTAGAAGAAGGTATATTTTTTTTAGAATCTATTTCAAATTAGAAATAAAGAAAGAAAGAAAGAAAGAAAGAAAAAAGAAAATGATGAATCACTATATATGAATATTTTATATTTTAAAATTTTATCATAAAATTTTGAAACATAAACAACAAATTATAAATTATTTTAACAGTAGTCAAATCCCTCAAAAAAAATAAATAGGTGTAGCCTTTTGCCTATAATACTTTAGGAGCTATGATAAATTATGTAAAGTGTGCCATTTTACCTTACCCAGGGTAAAGTGGCTAAATCACGTTAAAGTGGTTAAAATAGATTTGAAAATAACGAATAGTTGCAATTTTGACATCTATTCATCACTTTTAATATAAACTAATCAATACAATACAAGAATGTGAAAAAATATATCAAAAATAGCACATTTGAATATGCCCATTTTAGGTATAGCGAACATTTCAATTATTCATTCCCTTAGCGAACTATACTTAAAGTTTTATTTCAAATTACACAAGCTATAAATTAATTTTCCTTTTTGCTCAAAATTAACTTTTTATACGGTGTAGACGTTTAAATTTGAAAATGACCTTTTTGCTTAAATCAAACTGAACCGCCTTCTTACCCATAACTACCCCAAGGGGATATATATTGTAAAAATAGTTATTGCGTGATTTCTAGTTGAGCCATAAACTTCCGATAAATTATTTCATAGCTATGGCTTTAAGGAACTCTACAAAATTTTAAATTTTGAGGCATAATATATTATGCCCAAAATAAAATAATTAGGAAAGCAAATTTTTAGATATAAAAATAGGTCTTTTGGCAAAATATGTCAAATCAGGATAGTATTTCAAATGAACATAGGTAAGAAATTAGATATAAAAATATTCACACCAAATTGGTATTTATACTTAAGGGTTAGAAAGTTATTCGCGTAAACATTGTTACCCCGTCAATCATTTTACCCCGGTCTCCCCTTTATGAAATCGAATTCAAAAATCTTTATATGAATAATATAAGAATGGATATGACAGGAATAAGAACATGATTTATTAAATATACGATTATTTTATTATCTAAAAAAACTAAATCGGATCAGTTTTCAAATGATATCGGGCCGATCAAATTTTAATATTAGTATGTACTCGTCATTATCATATCTCTGCTATATCTTGTTTAATTTCATTTATTAAAAGAAAACTTGATGTTTAATTGTGGTTGAGAAGGTTAAGTATGACAATTGACAATTTTTTTAAAATCATTTATATGGTCACTTATAATAAGCAAATCATTATAAAAAGAAATCATTAGAAAGACATAGTAAGTGTAATATAATTTTTTTGTTTTTTAATTATGTCATGTTTACTTAGAATGATATGAAATATTGACCTAATAGATCGTAGGCCGTTTACACAATGGACACATAGTCGGCCCCCCTGAATCTAAAGGCCTCATACAGCCTGGACATAAGGCAGGCCCTGTGCTAAACAAATTTTGCTGCGACATAGAAGGAATCAAAGGTAGGTTACTTACATAGTTTACTGGTTTATTTGACCACAAAGTATTTCTTCTACACTCTGGGCATTGTGTAAATGTTCCCCCAGTATCTCCTCCAGAATACATGTTACTATCCAGCGGTTGCATACATGTCTCACAATATGTCTTTTTGATAGGTTGAATTTGTTGTTGCATTAGCATTTGTTGCTGCCTTTGTTGTTCCATTTGTTGTTGCAATTGTTGTTGTCTTTGTTGTTCCATTTGCTGTTGCAATTGTTGTTGTCTTTGTTGTTCCATTTGCTGTTGCAATTGTTGTTGTCTCTGTTGTTCCATTTGCTGTTGCAATTGTTGTTGTCTTTGTAGTTCCATTTGTTGTTGTCTTTGTTGTTCCATTTGTTGTTGCAATTGTTGTTGTCTTTGTTGTTCCATTTGTTGTTGCAATTGTTGTTGTCTTTGTTGTTCCATTTGCTGTTGCAATTGTTGTTGCCTTTGTTGTTCCATCAATTGCTGCTGCCTTTGTTGTTCCATCATTTGTTGTTGCCTTTGTTGTTCCATTTGTTGTTGCCTTTGTTGTTCCATCATTTGTTGTTGCCTTTGTTGTTCCAGTTGTTGTTGTCTTTGTTGTTCCATCATTTGTTGTTGTCTTTGTTGTTCCATCATTTGTTGTTCCAGTTGTTGTTGTCTTTGTTGTTCCATTATTTGTTGTTGTCTTTGTTGTTCCATTATTTGTTGTTGTCTTTGTTGTTCCATTATTTGTTGTTGTCTTTGTTGCTCCATTTGTTGTTGCCTCTGTTGTTCCATTATTTGTTGTTGCCTTTGTTGTTCCATTAATTGTTGTTGCCTTTGTTGTTCCATTATTTGTTGTTGCCTTTGTTGTTCCACTTGTTGTTGCCTTTGTTGCTCCATTTGTTGTCTTTGGTGTTCCATTTGTACTTGTCTTTGTTGTTCCATTTGCTGTTGTCTTATTTGTTCTTGTTGTTGCCTTAGTTGTTCCATTTGTTGTTGTTTTAATTGTTCCATGTGTTGCCTTTCTTGTTCCATTTGTTGTTGCCTTAGTTGTTCCAATTGTTGCCTCTGCTGTTCCAATTGTTGCTGCCTTTGTTGTTCCATTTGTTGTCCTAACTGTTGTTGCATTTGCTGTTCCATTTGTTGCTGCATCATTATTTGGGGCATTGTATTCTGGGGTGTTGCATTCATCTCTTTATTAACCAAAAGTGTCATTCTTCTACAAGTAGGGCATTCTACTAGTTGTTGATACATATTTCCCGCCATAGTGGGCATTTGTGAAGATTGAAAAGAATCTTGATCAAGCATTCCTTGATTTTGATAGGTCATAAGAGTGTTCCTTTTACATTGTGGGCATTGGGTCAACGTGGGAATGGAAGCCATGGTAGACTGAGTAGTTAGTTGACTCTGAATAGGCATATTGACCCCGGGAACGACCATATCATTAACCAATAATGTGTTTCTTCGACATTCAGGACATTGAGTTAACTTTTGTTGAGTCATCATTGATGGTACTGATTGTATTTGAGGCTGAGTTGATAAATTAATATTTTCATATGACATCAAAGTTTGTCCACATGTGCCACAATTTGTAATTTTGGGAACTAGCATAGAATCATTAATAAAACTCTCTGATTTTAAAGGAATTTGTTGAGAATAAGGTTGTATATTATTCATCGTAATAGGTTGCTTGCAGGTATTACATATTGACATGGTTGGCTGAGATTGGGGCATGTTCATGACTTCTTGAGACATTAAAGTATTCCTACCACAGCTAGGGCATTGTTTCAATTTGGGAACGACCATAGAGTTGCCCATTCCTAAATTTGAATTTGTCATCATTTCCGCTTGACATGTTGGACATCTTGTAATCGTTGAAGCCATGGCATCTGGGTCTGGAACTTCTATATTTTCACTAGTCATCAAAGTATTTCTTCTACATGTTGGACACATAGTTAATTTTTGAACTGTTACACTTTTAGTTTTTCTCCCGCCTTGGTTAAATGGCTGATATGAGATAGGAACCGAATAAGAATCTACCATGTTGTACCAAATCATTACATTCGATATAGGCTTCACATGATTCCTTGCGTTTGATTTACTTGTTAATAGATTTGCAAAATCCTTCACAGACAAGTTATCAATCGTTTTTGAGAATTCTAAATCATCATTAGATTTATCATATTTTTTTGTCGTGTGCTTTTTTCCGTTCGAATCAAAGAGTTCTTGATATAAACTGAAATCGGCCTCAATAAAATTAGCATGTTTGTCATTGCATTCTTCATGAATTTGATGATTTATAATAATTGTAATTGTAATTAATATACATATATAAATAAAAATTTACCGTTTGATGCTCCAACGTGGGTTTGCTTCAATGTATATGGTGCCATTTTATGATTTTACCTTTAAAAAGTTTTTACCGGTAAAGGTTAGAGTGGGTAAAGTTTTATGAAAATTTTCAAATGACCTGACAATAACAGGAAAATAAATAAGATAAAAGCTTTAAGCTTTAAATTAACATTAAAATTTTTATTTGTAATACTCTTCGCATGAAGTAATGTTTATGTAATAAAAAATATTACATATTGCTCAACGTCATTTTAAATTTGAGCTTTATATTTGTTTTTGATAGTCTTATTATTTATCTAAACTAGATGTTTTGCCACTTAGGGTTTAGTGTATAAAAAAATAATTGTTTAACACATTTTGATGATCTTGTTATTACAATTTTGTTCTACCAACATAGTATCTTTAAATCTCTATAATTCTAAAAATACGTTTTTTTAAAAAAATCACATTTCGTATTTTATTAATAAATATTATGCAACTCAATATCTTCAAATTTATTTAAAAATTTGAATTTAAAATTAGGATAAGAAAAAACTAAAATTTGACAAAAAATAACTAAAGATCCTCAATTATTTTATTTTTTTCAAAAATTAGCTAGAAGGGTTTTCCTTATAATTTGATTATGCCGGAATTCTCCCATAGGTTATAATACAAAAACACAAGCATTCTTTTAGATCTTTATTACTTTTCTTGTAATATACAGCTAACAACTCTTCTTTCACTGATCGAATGCGAATATTATTTTTCTCTCACAAAATTTAGAGCCACACTTAAGGATTTTTAAAAAAATTTTTCTTAAAGATCCAAAGGGTTGAAAATTATTTTTAAAAATGAAAGTATTTGATTGTTTACACACCTGATAATACAGTGGATTTAGATCAAGGGCCTTGTTTTTGGGATATAATTCAGTAATTTTGAAGTCACTTTAAAACTCATTCATCTACACGAATATTTCTAAGGGAATTTAGGGATCAAACTTGGTGCCTTTCCAATTTTTCTCCTCGCGGCATATTTTATCAGTCACATTATAAATTGGAAAAAAATATCGTTTGATTTTTCCTTTTAGGCGTAGCCCTTGCAAGGATTAATCTAACTCACAATCCATTTCGAATCGTCACTATAAAATTTGGGATCAGGGAGGCCTGATCCTTGGGAAAAAAGAATATAGGGTTGTGTCAGTATTGAATAGGACAGAGATAAAAAAAGAGGTTTGATGCGGGGATCTATTGAATGTTAGGCGTTTATAAAATTTAAATATTTTATGCTAAAATTTGATTAGGAAAAATTTTATGAAAAAAAAGAAGTGTCCTACCATTGTCCATTCAATAATTCAGGGCCTTGAGTAGTGTTGTAACTCAATATTTTAGCCAGAAATTTATTGTCTAAGCCTCGAGATTTCGTTAATAGATGTTCAAACCTTTGTGCATCCTACGAGCAAAATATTAAGGCTTGCATAGTAATTTTCCTAATATTGGATGTTTTAAAAATCGTTCAAAATGATCCGTTTAACAACACTAGTCTTGAGTTATTTATTTTGTCAAATTGCTTCTTAAAATTATTTTCTAAAAAATGACTCGATCGAATTCTAAGAAAATTTAGGGGATATTAAGTTTCATATATTTTTTAATAAATGAAAAAGATGATTTTTTTTAGAGTTATGAATATTTAAAAACGCGATATTTTATTTTTGAGCCATGGGGTATTTTCTTGCAAAGTAAACTCGGATCTACCATATAATAATAAATAGGTTTCACCCTGAAAAGCTGTTGCAATATCCGAAATATTGATCGATTTAATAGTAAAACATATGGATTTAGTTTAATTTAGGAAACACATATATATATATATAGTCTTTAACATATATAAATTAATATATTCGTTTATTTATATCTTTATAAGATTCTTTAATATTCAAATATCGTATGTTGTTTTATAAAGCTTTATTTTTGACATTTTCTTTAATTTCGTTTAAGATATATAAACCTTAAATTTAAGTTGTAACTCCTTTTTTCAGCTCGAATTCCCGGAGGATTTTACAAAATACATTATATTTTTATATTCCCCACCGCGAAAGGGTATAAGCTATATAATATAACCAATGGCATATAATAACACCTATACTGACGATGTATTCATTAAATTGGTACATCAATGAAAAACAGCCGAGGACGCCATTATGATACCATTTTGATTACGCATAAGCATATATAAAAAATTTAAAATTTTAATGTAAACAAAGTAAAATGGTATCCTACTTCACAATTATTCCAAAGCCATTCTCACAAGAAAATATGTATTTAGTAGACCAAATTCAAATAATTGAAACATATTCTGGATCCTATATAGGTTACCAAAATGGCGTGTCACATGGTCTCCAGCTGATTTGCATTCAACAACGCTTTAGAAGAATGAATTCTTAGTCTAGCGATTATTATAATGTCATTGATTGAATATTATATGTTAAATATTTTGATCAATCTTAAATCCCTGCTCATCAAGCTTTTCCAACAAAAGCATTGCAAATTCAAGGTGAACCCTTTTTTAAAAAATATTCTTGGTTTCTTTAAATTTTGAAAGAAATATGTTAGCTTCCCAGCATATTCGATTCGTAGTTCGATTCTCAAAAAAATATAAATCGTAGCAGCTGATAATTTAATTTTTATTATGTAAAAAGGCTATATTGGTGAAATCGCATTTTTTAGTTTATATCGGGTCTTAATATCGAATTTTGAATCGCGATTAGAAATAAGTTGCATCTAATTACACTTTAAAGCGTCTTTTTACGCGATTCCAAATATTTTTGCATCTTACCCTTTTAAAATGTGTAAACTACCTTTTGAATTGCGATTTAAAATCCGATACAAATCTAACTGGCGTGTTGGTGGCTAGCCTAAAATTAGAAAGTTAGGATATTTAAAAAAAAATAGCGGAATTATCTCAATTTAATAAAAATTTAGTTAATGAAGGTATCGCAATTAAATCTGTTATAAATTTCACAGTTAGTAAATTTTTATCCTTTGTTTGTTCATTTATTGAACTGAAACCTCCTTCCATTTTTAATTCAAATTATTGAAATTTTCTTTGCCTTTTCAATGGCGAAGAAGAGGGGCTACATGGGTCTATAAAATTCTTCATGAAATCTCGGAAATGGAATTAGCAAATTTTTTAGGGAAATCAGGGATGGTTGGGACACATTTCGTTTACTGATTAAATGCAATAATACTCGACTAATCTGAATAAATAAAACATTTTCTGAATCCTAAGATCGTTGCTCCACATATAACACAGAAATCAATATAAAATTAATTTTTTTTGATAATTATGTTACAAGAGACTTTAAAGTGTGTTAATTTATGGATTATATCAAAATAAGCAATAATTAAGCAATTTAAATTGAATTTAGAGATTATAAGAAATTTTTATAACAAAAAATTAAAAAAAAAATATTATTAAAAATTAAAATTTTACAACGATAAATATTAATATTTATAATTATTTGCATTTGTTTTAATCGAAATAAAAAATAATTATGAAATAATTAAGAGGACCAACTGTCATATGACCAACCATGGCCTATCTCAATATATATAAATATCATTCTAATCATATTAATTCATGTTTCATGATATTCTGAAAAATTGTCAGTTACTTTTTGTATTTATTAAAATATATATAATTGGGATTGCAATATTTCATAAGTTCTTAAGAAAAGAAGAAATTTTAGGCATAAATTTTAAAGTAGCTACTTAAGTAACTGTCGTATTTGTAAATACGTGAACGTTTTATATTTTTTTTTTACGCGAAATGCCAATCAACCAATTAAAATAAGGTTGATTGGATAGAAAGATTAGATGTAATATATTATATGTGGATTATTATTATATTTTGAATTAATTAATTTTTATAAAAATTACGGATATTTTTTTTATAAAGAAATGAATTTTCTTTTGAATAAAATTGTTGGATTTATATTGTAGTTTTATTTGTCTTTTGATTTGATAATTTCCTATAATTCTTGACGATTCGTTTTTTAGAAAGTTTGGTTAAGTTTCTAGGATTTGTTTGGGTAGATTTTAGATTTGTTTTAGTTTGTGTTTGTAGGTTTTTTTTAGTGGTGTCTTGTGACGCTGATAGTTTCCTAGGAGTTATTCGGTTTAGAAGGTAAAACAAAAAAGTTTTTAATTATATAATTTTTTTAAAAATTTTTGACTGCGCATTTGTACTAACCATTATACGATTCTGATAGAGAAGTTTTTATTTAAGGTGCTGTATTAATATTTTCTACAAATATTTAAATTTTTGTAATTGATTATTAGTATTAATTAAGAAATTTATGAGCAAATGGTTTATTTTTTTAGGCCTAGTGGGGAGCATAGTTTTGGGGATAAGGTTCTCTTTTATAAGGATTTGGGTTATAAAGTTATGTATAAGAACTTTAATGAATTGGATTTAGGTAAACAATTGATTACTGTGGGAATATTATTAATGATGTATTTATTGATTATTATATTGAAATTGTTGGTAAAAAGGGGTACTGCGGTACTGGCAGGCATGTATTGCAATTGGAAGAAGGACACTGGGGTGTCAGATGTTTATAAGAAGAAAATGGAGGAAACCTATTTTAATTTAATATCGGATATTTATGGGAAGAAAATAGCAGACTTGGAAAGTAATCTAAAAGATGTTTTAGAGGAAATCAAGGCTGGAAATGTTGGGGAGAGGTCAGATAGGATCCTCCTGGAAATAAAAGAAATGAAAGAAGCCATCAATGCGTTGATGAAGGAGAGCAAAGGTCCGGTTAAGAGCCAGGTGGGTGATATAAATATGAATAAGAAATTTAATGATTACGAGGAGAATAAAGGAGTGTCAGGAAATAAAAGATTTGTTGAAATGATCATTTGCCATCGTTGCGGATGGCGAGGACATAAAAGGGATACCTGCGTGGTCCCAGAGCAAAGGTTTAAAGATGGATTTCCGTTAAAGAGATCGGAAATAGGAAATGCTAGTGTAAAGGTGGTTCGGGTGAATGAATCTCGAATATGTTTTAAATGTAAAAGACTGGGACATGTAGCTGTGGACTGCATGGAAGTATCACGAAATTCGTGTTGACTATATGATTGCAAGGTGAATCATATA